AGCTGGATGTCCCTGTCCCAGCCCCTGGGGCGGTGCCAGCTCCCGGTTGTCACCGTGATTGATCCCTTCCATTGTCACCCGGCCCTGGTGACGCAGGTGCTCTGGTTTCGGGTTGCTCCGGCCTGGACCACGTGGGGTTTCTTGGGAATTTCAGGCTCTGGGAGGTTGTGGCAGAGCAGGAAGAGCCGGTTGGTGCCAGTGCCAGGGCAGGGCTGGAGCTGCCTTCGCCCAAAATCCCGGACTTTGGCCCCGTGGGCAAACACGGGGGAGCCAGAGGGGCTGGAATTTGGGGGGAAATCCTGGCAGGAAAAAAAAAAAAAGGCTGGTGGCCAAAACCAGCCTGTCTGGAAGTGGTTTGGGATAACCCAGCAGCTTTGGCTCCGAGATAGGGGGAAAACCTCAAAGGAAAACATCCGAAATGGGTGCCAAAACCCAGCTGTTCTGGCTGGAAGTGGTTCGGGACGATGGAAACAGCCCCAGCGGTGCCAGGAGCCCAAAACCAGCTGGTGGGGAAGCGGTTTGGGATAATCCAGCAGGAACTGGTTGGCCCCTGGTCAGGTTTGGCTGCTGGTGGTCCCATTCCCTGCCTGGGCACTGCTCAGGATCCGGGATCAGCCTGACCCTGCTCCCAGCACCCTTCCCTGGTTGGTGGTGGTGGTGGGGGGAACCAGGGCAGCTCCAGCCTCATTTTCCAGCTCCTGCCTGCGAATTGCAAAACAACTTTCTGGGTTAACTGTTGTGGTCGGGCGGCACAAAGGGCTCATTGTGAGCGCCGCTGGCTCGGGGCCATCCCTGCTCTGCCATTCCAGAGGTGCCTGACGGCCTCTCCCCCCACCATTGACCCCCCATCCCTCTGCCCGCCCACCCCGCGCCGGCGTTCAGGTGTTTTGTGACCCGGGCCTATTTTTAGCCCCAAATTTCTTCTCTCCTTCCTTGTGGTTTTGCGGTGAAATCCCCTCCCGGGGCGGTGTTTCCAGGCCTGGCTCGGGGGGTGTTGCTTTCCCACATAAGGAATGTGATCCGGCTGCAGCCCTTTATCTGCCAGAGAGCTGAGCTGGAGCCTTTCCAGGAGGAGGGAGACATTCCTGGGAGATTACCAGGCTGGGCCTGGCTCACCTGCTCCCCCCCCAAAAGAGGCTGCCAAGAGCCCCCCAAAAACCCGGGATGGGTGGGAAGGGCAAAGCCTCTCCCCGTGGTTTCTCAGGCTTGGGAAAACAAAAAAAAAAAAGGAATAAGTGGATCCTCTTCCTGGCCAGCTGGGATTGAGCCCAGTGCCACCCCCACCCCCCGACCGTGTCCGACCCCCACGGTTTTCCACCACCTGCTCCCCCGCCCGTGCCAGGCCGGATGGTGGGACGGAGCCGTGTCCCTCGGCCCGTGGGATGGATGGATGATGCCCTGCCGGCCCCTCACCGCCCATCCAAAGGTCTCCCCGAGGCGGGAGCTGCGCCCAGAGCTCGCCCAGTTCCCACCCAGGGCCAGGTGAGAGGGCTGGGACTCGTCACTGCCTGCACTTTGGACACCGGCGGCCATGGAATATCCCCAACCCGCTGCCAAAGCCGCTTCCCAGCCCCAGCTTTCCAGCTGCAGGTTGGTGCCCCGTGCTGCTGCTCCCAGCTGGAGGGGCTGGGGTGGCTCTGACGGGATTTAGGGGCTCGGGGGAGGAAGAGGGGGGGGATGGTTTCCAGTTCGGTGTCAGGTCCTGAGCTCGTTATCCCGACACCGGGCGAGGATAACGAGCTCAGGAACAAGGACTCTGCTCCCAACCCCTGTGCTGGCTCTGGGAATCCTTTACCTGCCATTCCTGGGCTCCAGGAATCTTTCACCTGCCATTCCTGGGGTTCCAGGAATCCTTCACCTGCCATTCCTGGGGTTCCAGGGATCCTTCACCTGCCATTCCTGGGCTCCAGGAATCCTTCACCTGCCATTCCTGGGCTCCAGGAATCCTTTACCTGCCATTCCTGGGGTTCCAGAAATCTTTCACCTGCCATTCCTGGGGTTCCAGGGATCCTTCACCTGCCATTCCTGGGGTTCCAGGAATCCTTTACCTGCCATTCCTGGGGTTCCAGGGATCCTTCACCTGCCATTCCTGGGGTTCCAGGGATCCTTCACCTGCCGTTCCTGGGGCTGGGGGGGGATTTGGGACACCTGACAGGCTCGTGTTGATTCCAGATCCCAGAGAGATCTGCCCCCCAGATCGGCCAGGGGGGGGTGGGAGCGGAGTGGGGGCTGTGGGGAGCTGGCAGAGCCAGAGCTCGTCCTTCCCGGCTCTGCTCCCGATCCAAACTCCCTGGAAAACGCTGCGTCCCGCGGCTCCAGCCCCGTCTTCCCCCCCGGGGTGGGCACAGGAGGAATCACGGGCTCGAGGGCGATGCAAGGACACGAGATCCCCATCCCTGAGTGCTGGGATCCCGCTGCTCCATCCGCATCCCTGCTCCATCCCTGCCTCCCAGCTGGAATGGAGGGGGTTGTGGTTTGGGGGGGTTGCTTTTTTTGGTTTATCCCCACGCTCGAGGGGGGTGTTCCAGCCCCCCACCCCCTTCACCCCCACTCGGGTTCGGGGTCCCGCCGGGACACCCTGTGGGGTGATGGGGGGTGCGGGAGAGGCTCGGGGCGCCTCGTGTGGCTCCCGATTTATTTTCGGCACAGAAAGGAGCTGCCGGTGCTCGGGGGATGGGGGGTTGGGGGGGGGGCGCGCCATGCCGGAGGGGCGATTTGGGGCTGATTTGGGGCTTTTGCATCACTCACCCCCCACCTCTCCCCGCTCCTCCTCCGTTCCTGCCGGTCCCTGTGGGTCCCGCATCGCCCCGGGACCGAGGGGGGAGGGTTCCATCACGCTGTTCCCAATATGTCACTGCTCATCTCCGTCCCCTCCCCACGGGACCAGGGCCCCTCCGGGCGCTGGAGGAGGGGGGTGATGCTGATGAGGAGCCCCCGGAGCTGCGGCCGGGCTGCGGAAAAAAAACCGGGAATGCAGCGGCGGCCGAGCCCGGCCGAGGAGCCCTCGGGACCGCCGCTTCCCCCCGCATCCCCCCGCCAAGGGCAGGACGAGCAGGGGGGAGGCTCCGGCTCCGCCGAGGATGCTGCGGGTGCGGCGCGGGGGTTTCGCCGTCCCCGGCGTCCCCCCCGCGGGCAGCCGAGCGCTGCCGGTGCTGGCACAGCAAATCCTCGTCCCCGTCCTGTCCTGGGGACGCCGCAGCGCTGGCACCGCGTGTCCTCTGGCTCCCGTCCCGCCGGGAAAGCGCTGCCCGACCCTGCTCCGAGCCGGGAATGCTCACCCCTTCCTCCCTGCGGCCCCCCAGGACCGCCGAGCCCGCGGCGATGGAGCGGCCGGCGGGGATGGAGAAGCAGAGCCCCGTGGATTACGGCGTGCAGATCCGCTTCATCAACGACCTCCAGGAGCCCCGCAGACCCCCGAAGCCGCGGGGCAAGCCCGGCTCCTACGGCGTGGCCGTGCGGGTCCAGGGCATCGCCGGCCAGCCCTTCGTGGTGCTCAACAGCGGCGACAAGGGCGGCGACTCTTTCGGCGTGCAGATCAAGAGCGAGGGGTCCTACCCGACCCCCCCGTGGCCCTCGGGCTCCCTCAGCTCCGACTCGGACCTGCCGGAGAACCCCTACGCGGGGGGGCGGCAGACCCGGCACGGCTCCTACAGCACTTCTGATGAGGAGGCTCCGGGGGGCTCGGGGGGCTCCCGGCGGGACCCCCGAGCCGCGGCGGGCAGGAGGGTGGCCGGCGAGGAGCTGCGGAGGACACAGTCCCACGGGGACCTGCTGAGCGCCGCCGGGGACGAGCCCGAGGCCGGCGGAATTCCCGGGATCCATCAGCAGCAGCTGCGGGCCCCGGCCGGTGGGAAGGGCGGCATCGCCCCGGGGCACAAAACCACGAGGCCGGCGGGAAAGGAGCCTTGCTCGGACACGGAGGTGGCCGGAGGGGACGTGGACACCAAGCCGCTGTCCTCGGTGGATTCGCTGATCAGCAAGTTCGATGGGAAGGTGCAGCAGCAGCGGGGAAGGGCGGCCAGGAGAGGCCGCATCCCCTCGGCCGAGAGGAAGCGCTCCCAGAGCCTGGACGGCCGCGTGTCCCACCGGGATGTCCCGGACACCCGCGGGACTCGCCCCCAGCCCGCGGGGCCCGGCGGCAGCCGGAGCCCCCCGCGTGGATCCGCGGGGATGGAGGGGGGAGGGATGAAGATCCAGCGGGGAATTCGGGCCGCGGAGGAGCAGAGCAAAACCCGGGCAGAGCTGCAGGTATGGGGAGGGGGGACCTGGATCCTTTAACCCTCTGGAGTGCGGGGGGGACTCCTGTCCTGGCTGGAGTTGAGCTTTTTTATCCCCCCCGGCAGCTCAAATCCACCCCGGACCTGCTGCGGGATCAGCGGGAGGTGGCCCAGCCTGGCAGCAGTGAACACCCCAAGGAGCTCATCTACAGCATCCTGAAGGAGGGGTGAGCCCCTCAGGACCCCCCCCCAGAACCCCCTGAGTGTCCCATCATTCCCTGTCCCTTTCCCAAAGCCCCACTGGCCGTGGCTGGGATGTGGGGAGGGGAGGGGGTGATTTGGGAGCGGGGATGTCCCTGAGCTCAGGATTTTGGGGAGGGGTGTGAGCAGCAAAGCACTGGGACAAGGGACAAGGTCACCTCACCCCCCTACACATTCCCAAATGCTTCCTTCCCGCAAATCCAACACCCCCAGGAGCAGCGAGAGCGAAGTCTCCCTGAAGAGGAAAACCTCCCGGCTGCTGGAGAAGATGCAGGAACTGGCGGTGAGTCGAGGCCGTCCCGGTGCTGCTCCGTTCCTGGGGGGGGGGATCCTGGTGGTTCTGGGGAGGGGGGATGTGTGGTTGCAGCACCCCAAACCCCACCGAGTGAGCCCCGGGGCGTCTCTGCAGGTGCCCCCCAAGGACACGGCGTGTTCCCAACCCCAGCACAGGGAACTGGCCAGGAAGGTGGAGGAGCTGCAGGAGAAACTCGACGAGGAGACCAAGGTGAGGCCGAGCAGGTTGGGGGGAGGGGATGTGGGGTCCCAGATTACATCCCTGGGCGAGGGGAGGCACAACAGACCCCTACTCTGACCCCCCCCCTTTCCCTTGGGTGCCGGGTGAGACCGACTCTGATTTCCCTGCTGGGTGGTCTCGGGGGTGTTGGGGTGCAGATGCCCTCCCCGGGGTGGGGAGTGGGTCAGCAGCCCCCCCAGGGAAGGGCTGTCACCAGTGTCCCCCTCCTCCCACAGCTCCGCCAGAAGCTGGAGCTGCCCGGTGGCCCTGCCCGGCTCCGGGAGGCTGAAGCGGAGACCCAACGGCTCCGGGGGGCTCTGGAGAAGAAAAACCAGGAGCTGCAGAGGAGTTTGCAGGAGTAAGAGCTGCCCTGAGGGGGTTGGGGGTGTCTGTCTGTCTGTCCCAGGGGTGGCAATGCTGATGGTGGGAGGGTCATTGCTTCCCCCCCCCCCGTTTCCATTCTGGGATGAGCTGTCCTAGAGCAGCTCCCTGAGAGTTCCCACGGCTTTTTCCCAGGCTGAAGGAGGTGAAATCCTCCAAGGAGCAGGTGGAGAGCCGGCTGGGGGACTGCGAGGAGCAGCTCCTGGCCACGCGCCGGGAGCTCGAGAGGCTGCGCCGGAGCTCGGGGGCTTCCCCGGACGCCGAATCCCTGTACAAGGTACAGCCTGGTGGCCTCGGGGAGGGGGTGAACATCCCCCCTCCCCTCCATCCCACCCACCCAGCCCCCTCCTCCTGGCCCTGCAGGAGCTGCTGGAGGCCCGGGAGGAGCTGGAGGAGGCCCTGAGCTCGAGGCAGCGGCAGGAGGAGCAGCTGCGGCTGCGGGAGCGGGAGCTGACGGCGCTCAAAGGGGCCCTCAAGGAGGAGGTGGCCACCCACGACAGGGAGCTGGAGAGGGTCAGGCAGCAGTGCCAGAGCGACATGGACCAGCTGAGGAGGAGCATGGAGGGCATCTCGCAGGTCTGGGGGCTGAGGGGGGGGCAGTGTGTCCCTAAATCCCTCCCTCTAAATGGTCCAGAGCTGGAAACAGGGTCTGTGTCCTGCCCTAAATTCACCCCCCTTGCAACATCCATCTGCCCTGGCTGGTGCCTCCCCAGGGTGGAGGTGCTGGGGAGGGGCTGGGTGACCCTAAATCCCCCCCTTTGAAATGATCCTGAGCAGGGGTGGGTCTGAGACGGTTTTGGGGGCTCCCCAGACGGTTTTTTTGGGCTGAGACGGTTTTTTTGGGCTCCCCCCGGGTCCTGTCCCTGCTGGACAGGGCTGGAGCGTCCCGTGGCGGTGCTTCCCCGCAGGATAAAGCCAGCCTGGAGTCGGAGAGGCAGAAGGTGAGCGCGGTGGTGAGGAACCTGCAGCGGGAGCTGGAGGAGAGCGCGGAGGAGACGGGGCACTGGCGGGACATGTTCCAGAAGAACAAAGACGAGCTCAGGAGCACCAAGCAGGAGTGAGTGTTGCTCAGCTGTGGCCACCCACCAGGAGCTCCTGGGGAGGTCCATCTGCTCGGGTCTATCCGTAAATTTCACTCCAAACCCTGTTAAAAGCGGGTCAGGAGCGGGGATGGGGCTGGTTCTCCTCCTCCTCCTCCTCCTCTCCTGGTTTCAGGAGGAGGAAGGTGATGGCAGCAGGGGTTTGGGACACTTGTCTGGGTTTGGTGGCCTCACCCTGCCCCTCCCCAGGCTGCTGCAGGTGAAGCTGGAGCGGGAGGAGTTCGAGGAGGAGCTGCGGGAGCTGCGGGAGCGCTTCCAGGCTGTCCGGGAGGAGGCCGATCAGGCCCGGAGCAGCGCCGCGGATCCTGGGGAGCTGGAGGCCCTCAGGAAGGTAAATGGACAAATGGACAAATGACAAGGTCCCCCCCCCAGCCTGGGGACCCCGACCCCTCCCCGTGCCCCTCTGCAGGAGCTGCGGGAGGCGCGGCGGGAGCTGGCAGAGGAGCGGCAGGGCGGGGAGGAGCGGCTGAGGGAGCGGGAGAGGGAGCTGCTGGCGCTCAGGGGGGCCCTGAGGGACAAGGAATCCGGCCGGGATGAGGAGCTGGAGCGGCTCCGCAGGGACCTGCAGCGGCTGCAGGAGGAGCGGGACGAGGCCGGGAAGGTGAGCGCCGGGAAAAGCCGCGGGAGCGGGAGCGGGAGCGGTTCCCCTTGGTCCTTCCCAAATTTCTTGGTTTTGGGATGGTGGGACAAAGCTGCATCCCCTAAACCTGCCAGGGCAGCCTGGATGATCCCAGCCCCCAGCAGAGGGAAAGCTCTGGGAGCTGTTGGCTCATCCCAATGGATTCACCCCCCCTGGACGATCCCACTCCAGGCCAAGGCGTCCCTGGAGAGCGCCCGGGAGGCGTCGGAGCAGGCGAGGAAGGCGGTGGAGAGCAGCCTGAGGGAAGTGCAGGAGCAGAACGACGACCTGAGGAGGAAATTCCTGGGCATGGAGACGCAGCTGAAGGAGTACGAGCGCCTGGGAGAGAACTGGGAGGGCTCCCAGGTGCGGCTCAAGGAGAAGGTCACCAAACTGGAGGTATTTGTGGTGTCCCCCCCCCCCACCCCCGACCTTCCCTGGGCTCTTCCCGGCTCGGGGAAGGGGTTGGAAAGGCTCGTTCCTCGCAGGCAGAGCGCAGGCACATGGAGGAGTCGCTGGGAGAGGCCACGGAGCGGGAGCAGGAGCTGCTGTTGGCCAAGAGGTCCCTGGAGACGCGGCTGGAGGAGGCCGAGAGGAGCCTGGCACGGCTGGCACAGGAGCACCAGGACCTGAGCTCGTCCCTGCAGGAGGAGCAGCGGCAGAAGGAGCAGCTCAAGCGCTCCAAGAACGAGCTGGAGGAGCAGAAGCGGCTCCTGGACCGAACCACCGAGAAGCTCAACAGAGAGGTCGGGGCTCCTGGGGCTGCTTGAAAACCTTCCTTTTCCTTTTTCCTTTTTCCTTTTCCTTTTTCCTTTTTCCTTTTCCTTTTCCTTTTCCTTTTCCTTTTCCTTTTCCTTCTCCTTCTCCTTTTCCTTTTCCTTTTCCTTTTCCTTTTCCTTTTCCTTCTCCTTCTCCTTTTCCTTTTCCTTTTCCTTTTCCTTTTCCTTTTCCTTTTCCTTTTCCTTTTCCTTTTCCTTTTCCTTCTCCTTCTCCTTCTCCTTCTCCTTCTCCGTTTCCTTCTCCTTTTCCTTCTCCTTCTCTTCCTTTCCCTTCTTTTCCCTTCCTAAACCTTCCCTTCCCAAACATTCCCTTCCCTTCCTATCCTTTCCCTTTCCCTTTCCCTTTCCCTTTCCCTTTCCCTTTCCCTTTCCCTTTCCCTTTCCCTTTCCCTTTCCCTTTCCCTTTCCCTTTCCCTTTCCCTTCCCCTTCCCCTTCCCCTTCCCCTTCCCCTTCCCCACCTTCCCAAACCTTCCCAAACCTTCCCAAGCCCCACAGCCACGACATTCTCGAGCCCTCCCCCACTTCCCACGGGATTCTTCTCCCTCCTGGGGTGCCCACCAGCAGCTCAGGACCGGATTCCTGAGCCACCCGCCCCCTCCTGCCGCAGCTGGAGCAGATGACGGCGGAATCCCAGAGCTCCCTGAGCTCCCTGAGGTCGCAGCTGGAGGAATTCAAGGAAAAATCGCGGCGGGAGATCACGGACTCCCAAAAGCAGGCCAAGGACCGCGGGGCCGAGGTGGAGAAGATGCAGTTCAGCCTCGGGCGGCTGCAGGACGAGGTTTGGGCGCTGAGGGGGAAGGCGGGGCCGTCCCATCCCATCCCATCCCGCTTTTTCCACGTTCCCTCACCTGGGAAATGCCCTTCCCTGCAGGTGTCCCGGCTCAAGCAGGCGCTGCAGGAGAGCCAGGCCGAGCGGGACGACGCGGTGCTGGACAAGGAGGTGCTGCTGCAGCGCCTGCACAACCTGGAGCAGGAGGTGGACGCCAGGAAGCGCTCGCAGGACGATCGCTCCCGCCACGCCAAGGCGCTGGAGGTTTGGGGGATTGCATCCCAAAAAATCCCCTCCCATTCCCCTCCCCTTCCCTTCCCTTCCCAAGGCCCTGCAGTGCTGGGTGCTGACAGCAAGGGGCAGAGCTGGCCCGGGGCTGGCGTTCCTGGGAGCGCTGGGATGGGATGGGATGGGATGGGATGGGATGGGATGGGATTCCCGATTTTTTTTATCGGTTGCCAGCCCAGCTGCTTTTCCTGCCGCTGCCCCAGGGCTGGGGGTGGGGGTTTCTCCCCCTCCCCGGGGGTGGTGGGTGCTGCTGTGCCTCACATCCCAGCATTTCCCCTCTCCTGAATCCCTGGGATGCATCAGATCCTTCCGAGTCGGAAGCGTTTTTGGAGCAGATCCCTTTCCTCCGGAATTCCTGCTTCCCCTTTTCCCCTCCTGCAGCTCAGGCTGATCCCTTTTCATCCCAAATCTTTTTGCAGGAGAAGTCCAAGCGGCTGGAAGTGGAGCTGGATGAGGAGAGGAGCACGGTGGAGCTGCTGACGGAGCGGGTCAACCGGAGCAGGGACCAGGTAGGGCGGGAAGAGCCGGGATAACTCGGGAATCCTCGGGATAACTCGGGAATAACACTGGAATTACCACCCCGTTAACCAGACACTGAATGCAGTGGGAATGATGGCCTTGGAAAAGTTTGGGGATGAATGGGAATTATACGAGTTTAGGGGAAAAAAAAAAACCCAAACCAAACCAAACAAGAGAGGAATTCCGGTGGCTCTGATGTCCCAGCTGGCAAAGGGCGTGGCAAATCCAACCCCTGGAACAATGTCCCTGTTCCCAGATCGACCAGCTGCGGGCAGAGCTGCTCCAGGAACGCTCCAGCCGGCAGGACCTGGAATGTGACAAAGTGTCGCTGGAGCGGCAGGTGGGGATGGATGGGATGGATGGGAGGGAGGGAGGGAGGGAGGGATCCAGCTGGATGGGCCCTTTGTCCAGGGAAAAGCATCTTGGAGCATCCCTGGGAGGGAGGGAGGGAGGGAGGGAGGCCGTGTTCCCTGCTGGAAAATCGTTCCTCCTCCACGTTCTGGATTTATCCCGTCCCTCCTTCCTTGGGGTTGGATCGAGGGTTGGACTTGGATGATCTCGGAGGTCTCTTCCAACCCACTTCATTCTAGGATCCTGTGATTCCCATTCCCCCCACCCTTGGAGCTTTCTGCCACCTCCCAGAGTGCCTTTCCCTGTGGAATTCCCTCCTTCCCCCCACCCTGCGCTTCCCACCCTCCTGCTTATTCTGGGAATTGTGCTCCCAACAAGCTGGGCATCGACCTCCCTGAGTGGGAATTGCCACTTCCAAGAGAAACAGGAAACACCCAGCAGTTGGGATTTGGTGGGGGAGGGTGTGGTGTGGTTGAATTTGGGGGGGGAGGGGGTGGAATTTTCAGGATTTAGGAGCAGGAACTGGGGAGGTAAAGGGGGGGGATGAGCGTCGCGGGGCTGTAACGCCCCAGCGTATCCCAGTACATCCCAGTACATCCCGGTCCCCTCCGGCCTCTCCTCGTGCCCAGGCCGGTGCCAACACGTTAATTGCTGTTATATAACCCTGCTGGTGGCGGCTCCTCCTTGGAAAAGGCTTTCTGGGCCCTGACTCACCGCTGGCTTTACATAAGCCAGGCCTGGGAGCTTCCCCGCCCAGCCAGGAGAGGAGGGGGGAGGGTGGGGAGGAAGAAGAGGGAGGGGAGGGGGTGCCAGGGATAATTTTGGGGGTGTTGGATTGGATTTTACAGAACAAGGAGCTGAAGAACCGCCTGGCCAGCTCTGAGGGGCAGCACAGGCCCAGCAGCAACGTGTCCCAGCTGGAAGCGCGGCTGGAGGAGCTGCAGGACCAGCTGCAGGCGGAGGAGAGGTACTGGGAGGGGGGGAGACCCTTTTAGGGGTGTTTGAATTCCCGATTTTAGGGGTGTTTTCCCCTTCCTCAGTGGGGGCCAATCCACCCCTGTTCGCTCTTCCCCAGGGAGAAGAACGCCCTGCTCTCCTCCAACCGCAAGCTGGAGAGGAAGGTGAAGGAACTCACCATCCAGATCGACGACGAGCGGCAGAGCGTCAGCAACCAGAAGGACCAGGTTGGGGGTGGGGACTGGATGGAACCCCCTGAGGGGGCTTGGGGATGAAGGGGGACGACCCCTCCCCGCCCTAACCCCTTGGGATTGGCAGCTGAGCCTGCGGGTGAAGGCCCTGAAGCGCCAGGTGGACGAGGCCGAGGAGGAGATCGAGCGCTTGGAGGGCGCCCGGAAAAAGGCGCAGCGGGAGCTGGAGGAGCAGCACGAGCTCAACGAGCAGCTGCAGAACCGCGTCAAGGCGCTGGAGAAGGAGGCCTGGTGAGGGGAAGCCGGGCCCCCCAAAAAAGCCTGGGATCCTGGATCCAAGGCGAGGAGGAGGAGGGGAGGGAGAGAGGGACGAGCCCGGTTTTTTTTTTTCCCCCGTCTCGTCTCCAGGCGCAAAGCGGCTCGCTCGGCCGCCGACTCCTCCTCGCTGCAGGACGACCAGCTGAGCTCGGACGAGGAGTTCGACAGCGCCTACGGCCCCTCCTCCATCGCCTCCCTGCTCAACGAGCCCAACCTCCAAACCAGCTCCTGCTGACGACGTGGGTGCTGCTGCCGCTGCTGCTGCTGCTGCTGCTCGAGGAGAAACTCTTCCGAGGGCATGAAGGAAGGAGGGTGGGAACCCCCCTGGGAACCCCCCCTGGGGAGATCCCCCCCCCCAAATGGACATTGTTCTCAGCTCTTCATCTTCGTACGGGTCTCAGGGCGTGTTTGCACCGTGGGTTTTGGGGGGTTGGGGGGACCTGCTCACTGTCCCTGCTGTGCCCTGGGTGACCAGGACACCCTGGGGGGGGTTCAGGGTCCTGTGGGGGCATCTGGGGATCCCCCCGGGTGGGGTCCCCCCCCGTTTATTTTTCTATGCAGCCCCCCCCAAGCGCTGTTTTAAATAAACCCCCGCATTTTAACGCCTCGTGGTCCCGGGGAACCTTCCTGGTTCCGCTGCTTCTCCTCTGGCCTGGAGATAAACCCTTGTTATCGCTAATTAACGAGCACGGGAGCCCTGCCAGTTGCTAATTAGCGTTGATTGGCAGGTGCTTCCCGCAGTTCCCCTCGTGGCCTCGAGCAGGGCCCGAGCTGGCACCGTCCCCGGGGGTGAGGGGGGGGGACACACACGACACCCTCCCAAACCCGGCGTGGCTGCCTCAGTTTCCCTTCCCAAATCCTTCCCAAGTCCTTCCCAAATCCTTCCCAAATCCCGGGGCTGTTTACTCGGGATGCATCCGGTGGGGAAGGAACGACACGGTGCCACCAGTGCCACCCCCCCCCCCCCCCCCCCCCCCCCCCCCCCCCCCCCCCCCCCCCCCCCCCCCCCCCCCCCCCCCCCCCCCCCCCCCCCCCCCCCCCCCCCCCCCCCCCCCCCCCCCCCCCCCCCCCCCCCCCCCCCCCCCCCCCCCCCCCCCCCCCCCCCCCCCCCCCCCCCCCCCCCCCACCCTTCCTGCCCAGCGCTGGCCTTGTCACCGCGTCCCCCCCTTCCCCACACACCCCTCCACCCCTCGGGGCACCCGCCCCGCACCCACGGCGGCCCCGCTGCGGTTTCCCCGGGACCGGCACGACCGGTCCTGCCGCCCTCGGCTCCTCCCGGCCACGCGTGGCGGGGACGGGGTCACCCTCCGGCCACACCCTCCGCCTCGGGGTGCCCGCTGGCGGCTCCGTGGCTCGGTGTCCCCCCCGTGGGCGCTGAGGGGCAGGGGGGGGCTCAGGGGTGCCCGCAGGGAGGAGGTGGCACGGCTGTGGCACTGCCAGGGCACAGAGCGCGGCCGGAGTTTGGCGGTTCTTGACTTTGCCGGGCCCTGAGGGAGCCACATCCTCCACCCCACAGCCGATCCCGCTTTTCCCCAAACCCCCCTCCGGGCCGGGCCGGGCCGGGCCAGGCCGGGGCGTCCCCAGCGTGTCCCCAGCCCGGGGCCGGAGCGTGGCCCCGGTGACCGCACGGGGCTGGAACGTGGCCCCGGCCCTGCCGAGCCCGGGGCCGGCTGAGCTCATGGCACGGCTATGTGGCAATTACCGCCCGCGGCAGGACCGAGCTGGCACTCCCGGGCCACCCGCGCCGCGCGGAGACACGGACGGGGACACGGGATGTGGCGGCTGACCCCGTGGGTGGGCGCGCTGGGCTGGCCCCCCCGTGCCAAACGGGCCCGGGGGGTGGGGAGCCAGCCCCTGGCACGGTTTGGGGCGCCTTGGCACAGCTCGGCGCGCTTTGGCGCGGCATCGGCATCGCCACGACCCGCACAGCTCGGTTTGGTGAGGCCGGAGAGGGGGGACAGGGCTCGGGGGAAGGGGGGGGTGGAGGGGCTGGGGGTGGGTTGGCATGGCTTTGGCACGGCTGGGCAGGGCTTTGGCCCGGCTCTGGCGCGGCTCGAGGTGAATTTGGCACAGCCGGGCCTGGCTAAACGTGGCTTTGGCACGGCTGGGTATGGCTGAGCGTGGCTCGGCCTGGCATTGGCACCGCTTTGGCAGGGCTCGGCCTGGCATTGGCACGGCTTTGGCAGGGCTCGGGATGGCTTTGGCACAGGTTTGGCACAGCCAGGCTGGTCATGGCGCGGCACTGGCACAGCTGTGGCACAGCTTTGGCACGGCCGGGCACGGCTTTGGCATTGCTAGACCGCGCTTTGGCACAGTTTTGGCACAGTTTTGGCACAGGTTTGGCACAGGTTTGGCACAGGTTCCAGCGCGGTTTTGGCACACCCGGATCCGGCCTTTGTCACCTGGGGATGCGACGGGCGCGGCCGTCACGGGTGGGCGTGACTAAAACGCTGTGGGCGCGGCCGCCCCACGGGCGGGTACCTGTGCTGGGCGTGTCCCCCCGTGGGTGGGCGTGTCCCCTCGAGACGGGCGTGTCCCCTATAGGCGGGCGGGCCGTGGGTCGCGGCCGGGCAGTCTCGGCGGGGCCATGAACGGGCTGAAGGGTTGGTGCGCGGTGCTGGACGTGCGGCCCCACGGCGAGAGCCCGGTGAGGACCCCCCTCCCGATCCCCCCACGCCACCCCCGGGACCACCCCCGATCTCTCCCGATCCCCCCTCCCGGGACCCCGCGGTTGGGGAGGGGGATGTGGGTGCCCACCCCCGCCCCGATCCACCCCCCTTCGCCTTGTGGAGCTTCGTGGGGTCCACGGGGGGCTCTGCGGCCCCGCCTTCCCCCGTGGGGGGGGTCGGGGTTGCGCCCACCATCCCCCCCGAGCGACCCCCGAGGGACCCCCGGCGCTCGCAGGGGATTTGGGAGGGGGGGGGTCCCACCTTCCCCCACCGCGCTCGGGGAGAGATCCCGGGAAGCGCTTCCAGAGGGATCCCGGGAATGCCAGCCGGCACATGGTGCCGTGGAGCCATCGGGCCGGCCCCAAAAAAACCTCCTTTTGTGGGGGCAACGCGCCCCTCGAGCGGCTGCCGGGCAGGGCTGATGGTGGTGTTGGAGAAGGGGCGACGGGAACAACCGGCAGCTCCTCCTTCCCCCCCTCTCTCTTTGAGCCAAATCCTCCCGATTTTTCTCTTCCTCGTCCTCGGGTTTTCCCCGGCGCCGTCCGCGGCCGGGCCGGGCCCTGGGTGGGGCTGGCGGCGCCCCAAAAACCGGCCCCGCGCCGTCCTGGCGCCCCGATCGCCGGGGATGGGGCAAAGCCGGCGGCGCTGCCCGGGAGAGGTGCCCGGTTTTGGGGGGAACGGGTCGGACCGGAGGGATCCCCCCCCCCAAAAAAAAATAGAGAGTTTGGGCCGCCTTGCCCCGTGCCGGCTCCGCGGGTGACTCAGCTCTGAGTCTCCTTTAGGAGATTCCTCATTCCCGGCAGCTTTTCCCGGCCTTATAAGGAGCGATCGCGGCGTTGGGCTCGGTGGTTAATGGGGTTTGGGGAGATAAGAGAGGCTTCCAGCGCCGGCGATCCCCCAAAATTCCGGCTGCTGATCCTCGGAGATTAAACACCTCCCCCCTCCGGCTCAGGTCAGGCCTGTTCCGGGCGGGACAGACAGACGGACGGACCTTCCCGAGGGTTGCAAAACATTTGGGATCGCCGGCCGTGGGGCCTGGGATGTGATTTGGGTTCGTGGGGTTCCCTCTTCCCTGGCGTCTCTCCCTCCAGCCGGGTTGGGTGGTGCAGAACAGGCCGAAACATTTTTAAAATTGGCTTCGGAATTCCCGAAATCCTAACCCAGCTGCCCTCATTCCCGCGGGATTCAGCTCTTGTGGGTGTTGGGATTTTGGGAATGCCTCCTCAAAGGGGTGCTGGGCAGGAGTTTCCTGCCGAAAAAACCTCCAAGTGCTGGAGCTTCCCTGCAGCCCAGACCTGGCCAAACTCTTCCCATCCCAGTTAATTCCCGAGTGGAAGCTGTAAACACACACAGAGCCAGGCTGGAATAACTCCTGGGATGCCCAGCTGGGGGGGGAGGTTAAAGAAGGGTTTTCCATCCAAGGTGGGTTCTGCCAAGCACTCCATCGTCTTCCCAGCACCTTGGAAAAGTGTCCTGCTTCCCTGGAAAACAATGGAGGAGGCCCCAAATCCACCTCCCCCTCCGCTCCAGGGCTGGAAGCGGGAGCTGAGTGCTGGATTTGAGGGATGGGAGCGGGGCAGGGAGTCCCTGTGGATCTGATCCCGGCGGGATTCGGGACCTGGGGAAGCTCCAGCTCGGCACTGGGAGCAGCTGCTTCTCCCAAAAGCAGCCTGGAGGAGGATTTGGGAGCTGGGATTTGCATGGGTGGTTTCCTGGCCGGTCGAGCCGAGCTTTGGTGCCGGTTTTAGTGGTGGGATTAATCCAGGAGCAGGTTTGGGGAGGTTTGGTTTTTTTTGGGGGGGGGGGGTGGGAAGCACCCACGTGCCGGGGGGGCCCCGGGAAGTTTTGGCTGCAGGGATGGAAATCGCTCGGTGCTTGTTCCCTTATCAGGGGGAACCTTTCCCTGGCAGAGAGGAGGTTTCCTTGGAGTTGGGAATGTGGGGATCCCGGTGCTTGTGAACAAAGCCAGGAGAGTAAGGATGTGCTGGGGAGGCCTTTCCCTGAATCCCGCTGGATTCTGACAGCAGGAAGATGCTGAGTGGTGCCCTGAACCCTTTACCTTCCCTAAACCCCCCCCACAAATCCCAAAATTTCCCCCCCAAACCCCCTCCAGAATCCCCTCAAACCCATGGAGCGTTCCTAACCCGGCTGCTCCCGCCCGAATTTTCCGACTTCGCCCCGGGAAAACATTCCCTGCAGGAAAACCTTCCCGACAACATCCGGTTAAAGGGTTTGATGATGTCGGTGAGCGGGAGCAGATCCCGAGCGAAGCTTTCCCGGGGGGATAAATAAACAAGAGGGGAGGGATGGGAAAGGACCTGGCAGTGAGATCCGTCGGAGCCGGGATTTGTGGGAGCAAAAGGATTGGATTTGGGAAACAAACTCGGCTTGTTGAGACTTGGAGGAGCTTTGGAAGGGGGGGAGGCGGGAACACCCGGCCGGTGCCTTTGGAGGGGGTGACGTGGCCCAGGCGTGGCCCGGGCGCGATCCCAGGGCAGGGATGATCCCAGGGCAGGGATCCATCCACGGATCCAGCTCCGGGATTTGGGGGTCTTTCCCAAGCAGGATCCGTCAGGGGGAAGGGGTTTGGAGCGCTTTTTTGGGTGCCAAAAAAAGCATCTTTGGCCTGAAGTCCCGCTGGGTGCCGGGTGTGGGGGGCACCTCTCGTGGCACAGCTCTTGGGGTTGTGGGATCGTGGAATGGTTTGGGTTGGAAGGGCCTTAAAAAAGCCCCCCCAGTTCCACCCCCCCCTCTGCCAGGGGCACACCCTCCACTGGAGCAGGTTGCTCCAAACTCCCTGGCCTTGGATCAGCTCAGCCTTGGATCCTCCAGTCCCCAGGGAGGGGGTTGGATCCATGGCCTTGTCCTGGATCGCTCCTTTAATCCCGGTGGGATTCGCTCATCAGATCCCAGCAGGATTCACTCTAATCCCAGCGGGATCCTCTCCTTTAATCTCAGGAGGATCCACCCCTTTAATCCCAAAAGGATCCACCCCTTTAATGTCAGGAAGATCCAGTCCTTTAATCCCAGCAGGATCCACCCTTTTATCCCAGCAGGATCCGCTCTGAGCTCCCCAGCTCAGGAGGGGGGGGGAGCATCTTGTGGGACACCAACCTGGTGGGTGGGGGGGATAAAAAACCACCTCCAGGAGGCCAAAAGTTTGACTTACACCTCAAATTAACCTCTAAATTGAAAAATGGACCCTCTAACTTGCAGGAGAGCGTGAAGGTGCTGCGGCTGACGCTGCCCCATGAGCTGCCGGGCGAGCGGCGCGAGCAGGCCAAGCAGAAGGTGGGTGGAATTCCAAGGGGTGTGGGGGGGAAATTCTGGGGATGGACAACAGGGATTTTTTAGGGGGATTCACTAATCAATTCCACCCCCCCCAGCCGGTGGGAAAAGCCTACGCCATGGTGGCCAACAAATCCAGCAACGGGCACGCCCTGGCCTCGGAGTGCGTCAAGTCCAACGAGGGGGACGAGGAGATCATCAAGGTTTTGGGGCTGGGGAAAAAAAAGAGGGGAGAGAGGGGGGGGTTGTGGTGGGAGAAGCAGCTCAAGGTGTGTGTGGGGGGATTTGGGGAGGTTTAAAATGACAATAAAAACTGGGGGAGAGGACAGCCTGGAGAAAGGCTTTGAGGGAGGCTCAAGTTCAGCTTAAAATTTAAATTAAAGTCCTATTGAGGATGATCTTGGAAAAGCCTCTCAAGGGGTCTGAAGCTCGACTTAAAATTTAAATTAAACCCCCTATTGAGGATGATCTGGAAAAAGCTTTTCAAGGAGTCTAAAACTCAAAATTTAAATTAACCCCCCTCTATTGAGGGTGATCTCGAAAAGCTTTTCAGGGGCTCCAAAGCTCAACTTAAAATTTAAACGGGATGATCTTGAAAAGCCTTTCAGGGAGCCTGAAGTTGGACTTAAAATTTAAACTAAACCCCCCCACTGAGGATGGTCTGGGAAAAGCCTTTCAGGGAGCCTAAAAGCAAGCTTAAATTTAAGCTTGAAATCAAGGTTAGGTCTAAAAACCTCCAAGAATGTTTCAATCAGAGGGGGGGAAAAACGGCGTGGAGAAGGTTCCTGGGGACGAGATCCTCGGGATGGGATCCTTGGGATGGATTTGGGACACTCTGGGCAAGGTTTATTTTAAGTCTGAGCCTCTCTGGGCAGGTTTATCTCAAAGCCCGAGCCGAGGGTGGCACAAACCACGAGGAGAAGGTGACGCAGGTCAAGAGCCAAGTTCGCTACATCCAGGAGGTAATTCCCGGAATTCCCGGCCGAGGAGGGATGGGGGGGGTGGTCGGGGAAGGGAATTCCCATCCCAAAGGGAGCATCCCGAGGTAATTCCCATCCTGGGATTCCCTTGGGAGTTTGTTGACTCTCCTCTCCCGCTCTAATCGAGGCCATCAATTAGTCCCGCCTGACTAATTGCCGGGCTCTGGGGCGGGAATTGCTCGGGAATTGCTCGGGAATTGCGGTGCCTTTTCCCCCCAAGGCGCTCCCGGGTGCGGCCCCGGACCGGTTAAAAGGCAGTTTCCTTGGAATGTCGCGGCTCCCAAAGGGAACTGCAGGAGGAGGAGGCGGCCCCGGGAATTTTAACCCGTTTTTCGGCTCCCGCTGGGAATGGTTTTGGAAGTGGGAGCGGGTCCTGGGGCTGGGCTTGGCCTTAAAAACGTGGGAAATAAATGGGAAATAAATAAATTTGGATGGGGGAGCCTCTCCCGGGCTGGGCACTTTGGCCTTTCAGCATGTGGGAAAAGGGGAAATAATTTAAATTTAAGAGGAGGAGAATGTCTTTGGGATGGGCAGTTTGGCCTTATTAAAAAAAATTTTAAAAAAAAGGAGGAAAGGGGAAATTATTAAATTTAAATTTGGAAGTGGGAGCATGTCTCGTGCTGGGCAGCTTGGCCTTAAAAAAAAAAAACTGGGGAGGGGGAATAAATAAATAAATCAATTTAAATTCAATTTAAGCTCAAATTAAGCTCCTCTCAGGCGTTCCTGAGCCCCGGGGGGGGGGGTTGATCTGGGAGGGCGTCTCCCCGGATTTTTTACTCATCCTTCCGACTCCTGTGCCAGAAAAAAAAAAAAAAAACCTTTCCCAAAAAGAAAAACAGTCTGTTCCCGCTGCCTCCTGCCCGGGGCTGCTCCGGGGTGTTGCCAACCCAACCCTTATCTCAGCCCTTTCATCCCATTCCTGGGGCTTTTGGCTCCTCCGATCCCGATTCCCGATCCCGGCTTTCCAGCGGCTCTGGGAGAAGCAGGAATTTGGGTTTAAAAGGGCCTGTTTTAGGACCTGTTGAGCTGGGGAGTTGATTTTTGCATGGGCAAAAACAGACCAGTGGTGGTGGTGGCACCAGTTTGGTGGCACCAGTTTGGTGGCATCCAGGTGATCGATGGCAGGGAAGGGGTTTGGGGACAACCAGGGGCTTCAGGGTCCCCTCTGAGGTGACAATTGGTGAGCAACCAGGCCAATCTCCAGAGAACTCCTTTATTTCCTCCCTCTGATTCGGATTTGCATTGATTTATCTCGATTTATCTCTTGATCTCTCCTGATTTCCCCCTTATAATTTTCACCCCCCCCATCATTTTCCCTCGATTCCTTCTGATTGCTCTTGATTCCTCCTCGTTCCTCTTGATTCCTCCTCGTTCCTCTTGATTCCTCCTCTTGATTCCTCCTCATTCCTCTTGATTCCTGCTCATTGCTCTTCATTCCTCCTTTGGATTCCTCCTCATTCCTTTTGATTCCTCCTCTTGATTCCTCCTCTTGATTCCTCCTCCTTTCTCTTAATTCCTCCTCTCAATTCCTTCTCATCCCTCTCAATTCCTCCTCTTGATTCCTCCTCATCCCTCTTGATTCCTCCTCCTTTCTCTTAATTCCTCCTCTTGATTCCTCCTCTTGATTCCTCCTTGTTCCTCTTGATTCCTCCTCTCAATTCCTCCTCCTTCCTCTCCCTCCCTCCTCTCTCCCCTCGTAAATTTTGGCCCTCATGGACCAGCTGCCTCCCCTGCAACCCCTCCTGGAGCAGCAGGGCTGTGTTATCCGTAACCAACCCCCCTGATGGATTTGTTGGGGGCTGAGGGGACCCCCCCCCCCTCAGGAAAACGCTCCAGAGGGTGTTTGTGGTGGATCCAACCCCCACTTCCCAGGCTGGTTGTTGGCAGAAAACCCCCCCTGGAGGAGGTTTGGAGTGGCCTGGAGGTGCCATCCTGCCATCCTTGGGTCGTGCAGGTGGTGCTGGAGCAGCAGAACGGGAGCTGGTCCTGCCCCGAGAGGCTCCGGGGGGACTCCTGGCAGGAGCAGGTATGGAAAAAAAGGGGAAAAAAAAAGGGGGGAATGTTCCAGGTGATGGGTGGGATGAGGTTTGGTGGCCCTGAGAAGCCCCTTCCAAGCAAACATCCCATGATTTTGGGGAGTGTTGGGTTGAATTGATCCTGCAGCAAACAGGGTCAGCTCAGAGATGGGGAGAGGCCCCATTTTAGATCTAAAAATGCACTTTTTGGGGGGGATTTTTAGCACCAGGGATCTCACTGAACATCCCTCCAGCTCTCCCTCCTTCCGCTGGGCTGGGGCAGATCCCAGGATCCTGGAATCCCTGAGGCTGGAAAAGACCTTTGGATTGGGGATCCCCCCCCAATCCGACCCGGATGCTCCGGGCTGGCATTTTTGGGCTGGGCCTCCCTTTGGGTTTCAGGTTGCCCAAGTGGCCTCCTCCGAAACAAGGGCTGGGAATGCCACCAGAGGATCCTGAAGCTGCTGCTTGGGAGCGTGGGAGACCAGGACAGGAGTGGGGCAGGGGTGTCACCCACACTGGGATGGGGTGGGGTGGGGTGGGGGACACCCTTTGGTGCCTCCCAACTCATCCCTGCCCAGGAGGAGGAGGAGGATTGCTCCAGCCAGGACGTGGAGACGCTCCAGCAGACGGCCAGGAGGCTCCTCAGGAGGCTGCAGGAGGCTGAGAAGCGCCATCAGTTGGAGAGGAAAGCCTTTGAGGTGACTGAGAGGGGGAATTTCGTCTCGTTTTGGTGGGTTTTTCAAAGCTTTCTGGGGAGCCTGAGGGACACGTTTGGGCTGCTGGATGTGGCCACCTCCTCCTGCTCCCCCTCCCTTCCTCCTCCCCCCTGGGGGTTAATTGTCCCCTTTGGTGTGTTTTTTTTTTTTTTGGGTGACTGCTCACTCATGGCCCGGATGGGCAGGGCCTGGCTGTGTCACCCCACAGCTGGTGACAGCGGTGACACCCCGGTTCCCATCCTGTCCCACTGGCCAAACTGGTCCTGGGCAGCCCCAGGGAGGGGATCCCCAGGAAGTGGGGTTGGAGGGGTGACAGAGGGTGCCCTGGGGGACGTCTGTCCTTCCTCTGTGGGAAGTGGTGTGGTTTGGTGGCATCTCAAGGGGCTTTGGTCACCCGTGGTGGGTGTTCCTTGTCATTCCCGAGCTCCTGAGCTGTTGATGGTGGCTGAGGTCACCTCCTGGACTTGTCACCTCATCCTTGTCCCCTGGGTCACCCCCAGGGCTGGTCACCTCATCCTTGTCCCCTGGGTCATCCCCTGAACTTGTCACTCCATCCTTGTCCCCTGGGTCACTCCCTGGGGGGTGGTCACCCCATCCTTGTCCCCTGGGTCACCCCTTGTGTTGGTCACCCCATCCCTGTCCCCTGGGTCACTCCCTGGACTTGTCACCCCATCCTTGTCCCCTGGGTCACCCCCAGGACTGGTCACCCCATCCTTGTCCCCTGGGCCACCCCTTGTGTTGGTCACTCCATCCTTGTCCCCTGGGTCCCCCTGGACTGGTCACCCCA